GAATCAAGATTCCTTTCATAGCTACTTGATGCCATTTATTCAGTATAAGCTTCACTTTATTTACACTTCCGACTGAAAGCATGTAATTTGTGGACAGGCTTTGGTAGGTTCAACGTACTCACTGATGACTCAAAAGTGATGGGGATAAAAGACGATATTGGCCAACAAACCATATGAAGAAATGCTCAAGATCATTAGCCATTGGGTTGTTGTTGTTATGTGCCATTGAGTCGGACCTGACTTACAGCGACCCCTCCTTGGGTTTCTAAGACAGTATCACTAAGGAAGTAGACTGCCCAACCTTCCTTCCAAGGAGTGGCTGGTGGGTTTGAACTGCCAATCTTCTGGTTAGCAGTCAAGTGCCTTAGGCACTATGCTACCAGAGCTCCTCATTAGCCATTAGAGAGATGCAAATCAAAACAACAGTAAGATACCATCTTTCCCCAGCACTAGTAGCAAAGTTCAACAAGACAGAGAATAACAATTGCTGGTGAGGATGTGGAGAGACTGGGACTCTCATACATTGCTGGTGGGACTATAAAATGATACAAACACTGTGGGAAGCAGGATGGCGATTCCTTAAAAAGTTGGAATTAGAAATACCATTTGATCTAGCAATTCCATTGTTGTTGTTGTTACGTGCTGTCGAGTCAGACCCGACTCATAATGATCCCTCCTTGAGTTTCCAAGGCAGTATCACTATGGAAGTAGATTGCCCCATCTTCCTTCTGAGGAGTGGCCGGTGGGTTTGAACTGCCAGGCTTCTGGTTAGCGGTCAAGTGCCTCAGGCACTACACTACCAGATTACTAGGTACAATCCTAAAGAAGTGAGAGCCAGGACAAGAACAGATATATGCACAACCACTGTGGTAGTTAAGTTTGTGGGTCAACTTGGCTGGGCCTGGTTGAGTGGCTATGCATCTGGTGATAGTTATTCCCCATGATGAGAATGGCAATCAACTCCATGGTGAGATCTACCACAAACAGGTGAGTAGCTGCTTTGGGTATGTGGTCTGCTTCCCATATATAAGAAGCAGCTTTGGAATGGTCTCTAGGTTATGGCATGCTTGAACCCTGCATGTAGCTGTGTTCAGCAGCCTGCTATGCTCTGCTGACCTTGGGACTTTCAATGGACTTGAATTAATGGCCTGCCATGTGGTTTGGTAACATCGGGACTGTGCCATTTTATTTGTTAACCTTGGGCGTGTTAGCCTCAGCAGCCAGTAATTGACTGAGTGAAGAGATGCCTCTAGTTTCAGTGGGCTGGGAGCAAGAGGCAGAGCTGAAGCCCAAAGTTGAGGGGCTTTCACACAGTCCCTAGAGGCTGGCACTTTTAAGTCAGACTTCTAGCTTCCCAAACTGTAAGAGAATAAATTTGTGTTTGTTCAAGCCATCCCACTTGTGGTATATTCTTGTCAGTGCGGTGCTAGGCAACCAAAACACCCATGTTCATTGCAGCACTATTTACAATAGCCAAAAGATGGAAACAACCTAAGTGCATATCAACAGAAGAATGGATAACCGAACTATGGTACATACACACAATGGAATACTTTGCAACCCTAAAGAATAACTTAGAATCTATGAAACACCGCAAAGCATGATGAACTTGTAGGAGATTACACTGAGTGAAATAACATCAACCACAGAAGGACAAATACTATATTATTTGTTATTGTAAAAAGTCAAAGAAAGGTTTATGTATGGAAGGAAATTTTCTTTGTTGGTTACCAGAGTTAGGAGGTGAGTGGAGAGAACATTGTTAGATAGGTAGAGACAGGTATTGATTTGGGTGAAAAATGGTAATTACCAAATGTGACTAATCGCCATGGTGGCACTGAGGAAGAGGAAGATATAGGTGCGTGGGAGGTACAGACAACAAAGATGAATTCTTTTGCTCATACAATACTGTATTGTCAATGAAGGCAAATATGGATATACAGATGGATAGATGGGTGGACAGCCTATTAGGTGTGTCTATGCAGGCGGTAATGTACCCAGGACCACATATAGGGTTGGCAGACAATGTTTCTACAAGTGTATTTTTATGTTCTGTAAGAATTACCACGTATAGAGTAGAGCTGACAAGGGACAAGTTTGTAGTCACTTTTTGGCCAAAGCCAGCTACCCAGAGGGAGCTAGTAATTGGACTTGTTGGGCTTTCCGATTACTGTGGTACAACCAAACTTGATCCATGACTTCTTGACCATGGCTTTTACCTTTCTTATACAAATTATAATCAAAAGTAACATTTTTGTTTTATTGAATGACAGTGAATGAGGTCATAATTCACTTCTGGAAATGTCATGAGACACTCATGGTATCTGCATGGGCATAGTATGCCAGAATATTTTTTACATAATTTCATCATTTCTAAGTATTTTATGTGTATGTGCTATTTACACGGGTGTGCTATTTGCAGAGAAAATATGGTACACAGGTGACTTTTTCTTCAATATTATGTATCTAAATTAAAGGGAAAAAAGGTCTGTAATTGCAAATAAGAGAAAGTATTCTCTTTTCTAGGAAGAAAACAGCTAAGATTATTATATTTCCTTCATGCTATCAGGAATATTTCATTCTTTTACCATTGATATTGATAGCTATAAATAATAATTGTTGCTGCTCTTTCTTTTTTCTTCAGTCTCTAGACTAGGAATAACATACACAGGGCTATACTTCCTCCTCCCATACCCTTTGCTATATCTAAATTTTAGGTGACCTACAAAAAGCAATCTTGAAGACCAGAAGAACTACGTGGTGCCTGGCTACCACTGTCAACTACTCAGAGGGGCATCTCTGTAGGAGATCCTGGATAGAATAGGAGAACAATGTGGGACAAAACTCAAATCATTTAAAAAAAAAAAAATGGGAGCAGCTTTGCTGTTTGCTGGTCTGATAGAGCCTGGTGGCTCCTAGCTGCCCTTCAGGTCTAGAATTGAACTCAGTCCTGTGGCTTCCAGCCACACAAAAGATAGGCTACATTTACATTAGGTAGATGCAATCCTTGGAGAGATCAACCATGGGAGAAAAGAAGGGTTGTGTATGCACAGAGAGATAGCTCGAGGGGCAGGAGTTCATGGGAGGGAAGCACACAGGGAAGAAGTGGCTATGGGCAGGAAGTGGTAGGAGAGATGCTGCACTGTGGGAGATTACAGTCAATGTCATGAGACAAAGTATATGAACTGCTGTATGGAAGATGAATTTGTCCTATAAACTTTCACCCAAATCATAATAAAATTTTTTAAAAAAGGGGGAAAACAACAAATGCTGACAAAGTTGTGGAGAAATTGGAATCACTATGCATTGCTGGTGGGACTGTAAAATGATGAAGCCACTATAGGAAAAGTTTGCCAATTCCTATACATATTAGGGAGCTCTGGTAGTGTAGTGCCTAAGGCACTTGACTGCTAACCAGAAGGCTGGCAGTTCAAACCCACCAGCCACTCTTCGAAGGAAGATGGGGCAATCTACTTCCATAGTGATACTGCCTCGGAAACCCAAGGAGGGATCGCTATGAGTTGGGTCCAACTAGATGGCACATAACAACAACATATATGTTAAGAATAAAATTACCATAAAAAAATTACCATATGATGCAATAATTCCACTCTTAGGTCTATGTGTTAAGGAATTAAAAGCAGAAGCACAAACAGATACCTGTACACCAATGTTCACTGCAACACTATTTACAACAGTCAAAAGGTAGAAATAACCTAAATAACCATCAACAGATGAATGGATAAACATGTACATACAATGTATATACAATGGAATATTACTTATCCATAAAATAAATGAATTTCTGATACATTATACAACATGGTTGAACTATGAAAACATTATGCTGAAATAAGCAAGATACAAAAAGGCAAATAATGTTGAGAAATAGCATTATCATTCAAATATATTTCAAAGTATGAAATATTTAGAATAGACACATATATACAGACCAAAGTTTATTACTAGTTATTATGGATGGGAAGGAGTGGAAAAGAAAAAGACATTGTTTAGGGAGCACTGAATTTCTATTAAAGGGTGATGGAAAAATTTAGAAATGGATAGTGCTGATGAATTTAACTGCTATACTGAATTATGCATATAAAAAACATTCAAATGGCAAATGTTTTGTTAAATTTAAGTTTCCACAATTAAAAGAAATAAAAAAAGAAATGGAGAATTGTGATGGTGCTTAATATAGTCTTTAAGGTGCTAACAGGTTAAGGCTTCAACATTATCAATGAATGTCATAGGAAAAGGTAGGAAAATGTCTAAAGTAAACAGAATTCTGCCTTCTTGTTACAGGGTACAGAATGTTTTATAAAAGAATCCACTTCATGGTGAGACTGCTGAGACTACAGCCCCTAGTTACCCTTCAGGTTTGGAACTGAAGGCTTCCAGCCTGTGGCTTCCAGCTAAACAAAAGACAGGGTGAACATTTACATCAGGTGGGTATATTCCTTAGAACGAGGAATTGTGCAAGAACAGAAGGGCAGTCTTTACACAGGGAAATAGTGCAGGGGGCAGGAATTCACAGGAAAGAAGGACACAGAGGTAAGTACAGGTAGGAAGTGGGAAGAGAGCTACTACATTGTGGGGAACTGCAGTCAATGTCATAAAACAAAATACATATGAACTATTAGATGAAAATGAATTGGCTCTGTAACTTTCACCCAAATCACAATAAAAATTAAAAAAAAAAGAAGAAGAAATCTTGATCTAGATCTTAAGATCCTTGCAAGCAAGAACTGTGCTTATTTAATGTCCTAACTCCATATCCTGGCTCATGAATGAAGAAAAAGATGAGTACATGAATATATATGATATGAACAAACACATCTGGACATATTGCCCTTTAATTTCCATCCCTATTTACAGACAGAATTTTATTTTAAGTTAAAAACATTTTCAAAAGCCTCAATGTGAAATCAGACTATTTCATCAGAAATTGCAAACAAACCAGTCACCAATTATTTTTCAAATAAAAGATAGCACACTACCTCTGTACTCGGTACACTCGAGTCCATGGAGGCACAAGGGCTAGGATCCGAGCCACCAATTCTATCAGGTCACTAGGAGAATAACTCTTATATCTCCCTGATTTCCACAGCTCATAAAGTCCTGTTCCACGAATCACCAGGGTAGGGTAAAGTTTCAAACCATCTGGACGAAAAGCAGGGTTCTCAAAAAACTCCTGTGAACAGAAAATAGAAAATTACTTCTCCATTAATTATAGACACACTACCCAAGGTGAATTTTTAATCCTGGGTCAGTTTCTCTCACATACCCAGCAGGGCTTCAGGCTGCCTTTCCTTCTTAATAAGGGAGGGAATGCAGAAAGAACAGAAGCTCCATTTTTTTTAACAGCCTGACTGGAACAAAGCATCCATGTTCATTCAGACTATAAGGTCCTCCACAACCCAGCCCATCTTCACATCATTCACTTCATGTCATCCCTCACCACCTTGCCTCTTGGCCTTTACAAAGGCAATTTTCTCTGCGTGGATAGTTCATCAACTTTCTTCAATGAAATAACTGCTACTTATTTTCCAAGTCTCATATTGAATGTCACTTTTTCAGAGAGTCCTTCCTGACCTTCAAATACTAGGTGTCCCAGTAAAAACAAAATAGTCCTTTTGAACTGGTATTTGCTTTTTTTAAAAAACAGCATACTTATTCCTTTATTGTATTCACCAGTAGACTGTATTATCTTTTAATGATGAAATATATTTAGTTGTTTAAACTTTTAAAAAGTTGTGACAGAGATTATCTGATGTGCAAAACTGAAAATGTTTACTATATGGCCCTTTACAGAAAAAGTCTGTTGACAGTCAGATATGACTATTTTGTCCTCAGGCCAATTGGAACTACTCCTAACCTGGGATACACATGGTCCATTTGTTATCTGGACAATGAGCAAGGTAACTAATTAATCTACCTTTGGCATAGTCATTTTTTTAAAAAATTTTATTGTGATTTGGGTGAAAGTTTTCCCAAATTCATCTTCCATACAGCAATTCACATACACTGTGTCTCATGACATTGACTGCAATCTCCCACAGTTCAACAGCTCTTCTCCCATTTCCCCCCCATAGCCACCTCTTCCATGTGGGTGATTCCACAGAATGTGGAAATTATCGAACAATATCATTAATATCACATGTAAGTAAAATCTTACTGAAGATAATTCAAAAACAGTAGCTGCAGTATATTGACAAAGAATTTTCAGAAATGCAACCTGGATTCACAAGAGGACATGGAATGAGGGATATCATTGCTGACATCAGATGGATCTTGGCTGAAAGCAAATACCAGAAAGATGTTTACCTATGTTTTATTGAGTATGCAAAAGCATTAGATTGTGCGGATTATAACAAATTGTGGATAACATTGAGAAGAATGGGAATTCCAGAACACTTAATTGTACTCATGAGGAATCTGTACATAGACCAGGAAGTTACCGTTCAAATAGAACAAGGGGACACTGCATGGTTTAAAATCAAGAAGGGAGTGTGTCAGGTTGTATCCTTTCACCATACTTATTCAATCAGTATGCTGAGCAAATAATCTGAGAAGCTGGACTATATGAAGAACAACATGGCATCAGGATTGGAGGAAGAATCATTAATAATCTACAATACGCTGATGACACAACTTTGCTTGCTGAAAGTGAGGATGACTCAAGGCACTTACTGATGAAGACTGAAGTCTACAGTCTGCAGTATGGATTATATCTTAATACAAAGAAAACAAAAATTCTCACAACTAGACTGGTAAACAACATCACAATAAATGGAGAAAAGATTGAAGTTGTCAAAGACTTCATATTACGAGGACGTCCAGGAAGATGGAGGAATAGGCAGACAAGCTACAGACTCTCTTCAACAAAGAAAAGAAAAATCAATTCATAGAGATACAGAAGATAATACTAGAGCCCTGAGCTTTGAAAGGAACTATACAGAAGTGGATTAGGCACCAACTAGTGGAAAAACCTGAATGAAAACAGTGAGTACAGAGACGGCCAGAACTGCGGACTGTCAGGTACTCTGACAGGACCAATAGCCTGAATATCTCCAAGTGGTGCTGGGACCTAAGAATTGACCTAAAGATCAGCCCTGGTCACCAAGGTCTGCAGGCACGACTGCGCTGGTGGCCTATGTTAGGAAGGGAAACAGCAAGGAGGGAGACAATGTGAGCTATTGACTTTCCGCTGTCTGGAGGGCGCAGCCATTTTGATTGTTTACATGAAGCAGCCATTGGGGATATTTAAAGTGACCAAGGGTGCAGCTATTTTGCATATTTAAAGTGACCGAAGGCACAGTCATTTTGAATCTTTACAAGTGACAACCATTTTGGATTTTAAAGTGATAACATTCTCATTCGGATTCCAGGGACCTAAGAATAGGATCTTTTTGCCAAGGTCAGCAGGGACAAACAAGAGGCTGACAACAGGAAAGGACACAGGTGGTGAGTGTATAAGTGCTGTCAACTAGTGAATAAAGGAGCACAGCACAGTACCCTGTTTGTGTAGATAACATAAAAACAAAACAAAGAAAATAAAAATCATGGGCAAGTCACTCCAACATACAATCACCAATTAAATATAAACACAAAAATGTCACAATGCCCAGGAGACAACAGAGCATCACAGTCCACACAAAGAAGCAAGATAAAGCAGGAGAAACAAGGAACCAGAATACAGACCCAAAACACATCCCTAAGGAAGACGCAGCATTGGAACTCCCTGATAAGGAATTCAAAAGAATTATATTTAGGTATCTTCAACAAACTGAGAGACAGATTGAGGAAAACACAGAGAAAACCCTAGAACATTTTCAAAAGACAATACAAGAACAAAAGGATAAAATAAATGAAAAATTAGAAATGATATAAAATCTACACACAGAAATCCAAAATATTAATACTAAATTTCAGAAATAGATAAGACATTGAATGGGCAAAGGAGCAGAACTGAACCAATGGATGACAGAATTAGGGAGATTGAAGGCAAATACCTGAACACTTCTTTGGAAAGGGATAAATCAAAAAAAAGTTCAAAATAAAATGAAGAAAGCCTAAGGTTCATGTGGGATACCAACAAAAGGAATAACTTACATGTCATCGGAATTCCTGACAGGAAGAGACAAATAAAACCACAGAGAAAATTGTCAAAGATCTGTTGGAAGAGAATTTTCCTGGTATGATGAAAGATGAGAATATATCCATTCAAGAAGTCCAACGAACCCCAAACAGGATAGACCCCAAAAGAAAATCACCCAGACATATCATCATCAAACTCACCAAAACCAAAGACAAAGAAAGAATCATGAGAGCAGAACAGGAAAAACGAAAAGTTACTTATAAGAGTCAACCAATAAGACTCTTGGATTTCTTGGCAGAAACCAATGCAGGTGAGAAGACAATGGGATGGTACATATAAAACCATGAAAGAGAAAAATTTCCAACCAAGAATGACATAGCCAGCAAAACTGTCCCTCACATATGATGGTGAAATTATGACATTTCCAGATAAGCAGAAATTAAGGGCATTTGTTAAAACCAGACCAACCTTACAAGAGATGCTAAAGGGAGCCCTCTGGACAGAAAAGCAACAACAACAGCCAACAACAACTGACCATTAACACCCATGATGATATATAATCCAGAAAGCAACCCAGCTACGGAAGTATCCAGAGTAAATAAACCTGTGAGATCATAAATAGCAAACCAGACACATCCATTGACAAATGAGGACAACTACAAACAAAAAAAGGGAAAAACTGTGTCATTACAGAACTTCTAGATGGTAGGGAAGTCAAGATAACTACAAGATAGAACAGACTGTTCTAACCTTGGTAAGAAAACTATAAATCACAGGGTAACCTCAAAGAATAATGATAAACCTTCACATCAAAATAAAAAAGAGGACCAACATAAATATTCAGCAAACACTAAAACAACAGCAACAAAGGAAGTGATAACACAATTCATAAACAAAACAAGCTCAGCATAGAAAATTATATGAAACAAAGAAATCGACACCACGAAAAAGCACCTAACAAAGATGATGGCAACAAACTCATATTTGCCGATAATTACATATCTGGCAAAGGACTTATCTCTAAGATTTATAGAAAACTCCAACGCCTTGACACCAAATGAATTAACAATTGAAAACTTGTTAATTTTGTTAATTTTTCAATTGAAAAATTAAAAAATTGAAAAATGGGCAGAAGACATGACTAGACACTTTACCAAGGAGGATATTCAGGTAGCCAGCTAATCCATGAAGAGATGCTCACAATCACTGGCCATCAGAGAGATGTAAATCAAAACAACAATGAGATATCGTCTCACCCCAGTACTGACGGCAAGCTTCAATGAGACAGAAAATAACAAATGCTGGTGCAGATGCGGAGAGATTGGGACTCTCATACACTGCTGGTGGGACTGTGAAGTGACACAAGCACTACGGAAAGCAATATGGTGATTCCTTAGAAAGCTGGAATTGGAGATACCATTTGATCCAGCAATCCCATTATTAGGATATATCCTAGAGAGGTGAGAGCCAGGACAGGAACAGATACATGCACACTCATGTTCATCGCAGTACTATTTACAATAGCAAAAGGATGGAAACAACCTACGTGCCCATCAGTGGAAGAATGGATGGCTAAACTATGGTATGTACACATAATGAAATGCTATGCAGCACTAAAGAATAATGTAGTCTGCAAAACACCACATAATATAGATGAACTTGGAGGACATTATGCTGAGTGAAATAAGTTCATCACAGAAGGACAAATATACTATTAGTTTGTTGTTGTGGAGGGTCAAGGAAAGGTTTATATATGGAAGGAAACACTGCAAAAAAAAAAAAGCACTGACCCATGTCACTTTAGTTTTGTGTATTTCACTGTACATAAATTATATTTCAATAAAATGCATTAAAAAAAAAGACTTCATATTACTTAGTTCTACAATCAACACCAATGGAAGCAGCAGTCAAGACATCAGAAGACGTATTGCACTGGGCAAATCTGCGGCAAAAGACCTCTTTTAAATGCTGAAAAACAAAGATGTCTCCTTGAAGACTAAGGTGCGACTATTCCACGCCATGGTATTTTCAATCGCCTCATTTGCATGTGAGAGCTGGACAATGAATGAGGAAAACCAAAAAAGAGTTGATGCTCTGAGTTGTGGTGCTGGCGAAGAATACTGAAAGTACCCTGGTCTGCTATAAGAACTTACAACTCTGTCCTAGAAGTGCAGCTGGAATGTCCCTTAGAAGCAAGAATGGCCAGACTTCGTCTCACATACTTTGGTCATGTTGTCAGAAGAGACCATTCTCTGGAGGAGGATATCATGCTTGGTAAAGTAGAGGGTCAACAAAAAAGGGGAAGGCCCACAAATAGATGGATTGACACAGTGGCTGCAATGATGGGCTCAGGTACAGCAAGGATTATGAGACTGGCACAGGACCAGGCAGTGTTTCGTTCTGTTGTACATAGGGTTGCTATGAGTCAGAGACAACTCGATGGCACCTAACAACAACTACAGATACTAAAAAAAAGTTATAGGCATAAAGTTTACCTACAGCATTAATAACAATATAAAAAATTAAAATAACCTACATTTTGAAAAATTTGGGAGTGGTTAAGCAAATTCTGGCATATTTATTCAATATAAATAAAGCAGATATTTAAATATGTTAACATATTAAGAGAGACTACAGTTGGGCAATCTACCTCCACAGTGATACTGCCTGGGCAACCCAAGGAGGGGTTGCTATGAGTAGGGTACGACTTGACGGCACATAACAACAACAACAACAGGCCACAACATGGATAAATGCTTGTTACAATGTTAAGCAAAAAGCAATTCAAAAAACTGACCTAGCATATACATGTAAATGTGTGTCAGTGTGTACATGTGTATAAACAACCTCATCTCAAAAAAGCCTTAAGCGCAGAAAAAGTCTGGAAAGGAACTATTTTTATACGTTAGGATTTTGTCCAGTGTCAGTGACTCCTTTTTCTATTCTGTGTTTTCAATATTCCATAATGAAAATATATTGCTTCTATAATGGAAAAAACTTAACAGGAAATAACCAAACAAAAAGAGCAGGGATAGGATAAGAAGCATGCAGAGGCATCCAAAATCATGTTTGACTATGGCAACACTTACTGTAAACTGTTCAATGTCTCTTTCAAGTCCCACATTTGGCAGATCAGGCATCATATGAGCCACGACTTTGAAACCAGAATCTTTGGCAAGGTGAAATGACTCACACACTGCCTTGACGGTGTGACCCCTGAAGAAAAGAAAATTTACTACCAGTTACACAAGTACATGGGCAACAAAGTTAACAAAAGAAGCAAAGAGCAAACATTCTCTGAGACATTAACAGAAATTCTTTAAAAATCATAAGGCTGGGGGAAAAAATCTCAGGAAGTCTTTTTTTTTTTTCACTTTTTAACAGCCTCACCTCTAAGATTTGGAAGGAAATCATTTTACTTCTAAGATATTTTTCAGAAATTCCCTTCTACTCAAAGTTCTGAAAGTAAATGACTGGGTTATCAAGAGTTGATGTATATACTAAATTTATTTTGTTTAGCACCATCAGCCAAAATAAACTTACTAATGTAAAGATCTAAGTTAAAAACAAGAATAATGAGCTCAAAATCAGATGAAAGCAGCAGTTTGTGATGCTCTTTCTTTTAAACATCATGTGAAATTATTTGTAGAGAGAGGAAATGTGAAACCTCCAATACAAAATAGATTTCACTCTGGAGGGAGAGTGTGGAGGCCACATTTTTTAAAAAGTGAGAAAAGGGAGTAGTTGAATGAGCAAGCATTTGGGGCCAGCTGGAAAAATTATCTCAACTGTGTGCCACTCTGGTACCACATTCAAGTAAGAAGCAAGCCCTAATAAGAGTTATGGACAACTAAATCTTTCCCCCCACCAAGCAGTTCCCATTCACTACAGAGAGAGCCTAGAAATTTGGACTTCATCTCATTTTCTCTGGATGTTGCCATCTACTTCCATGGCTTTGGTAATTTAATCTCTATGTGTTAATGACTCTCAAATTTCTATGACTAGACTAGCACTCTCTCCTGAATTCCATACCTAAATATCTAATGTTCTGTGTTATACAATAGCCACTTTTCAAACTTACATTCAAATTAATTAAAATTACAAACTCAGTTTCTCAGTTGTAGTACCATATTGGACAGTAGTTTTAGAACATTCTGATCACTGCAAAATGTTCTATCAGATAGCTCTACTCTAAAGCAAATCACCAAAGTTGTTCCACAACTATCTAAAATACAATATATTTATAATGAAAGTTATCTTTCAAGATCTGTTGTTACACCATGTCCTCTCTCTTCATGAATAGCTCTATTATCTCCACCCAGTTACTCAAGATGAGTACTGGATCTCCTCCTTTACTTCCCATTCTCCCCTACCTTCATTTCTAGGCACCAAACACTATCTATTTCAGGCCACCATTACTTCTTGCTTAAAATACTGCAAGAATTTACTTAACTGGTTTCCTTTCGTTTAGCTTATTCTATTCTAATTCATCCTCCATATACTCTAACTAAAGTGAAATTTCTAAAATGCATATATGCTCACATCACAACTTAACTTAAAGTCCTTAAATGGCTTGCTACTGTTCGTGGATTACAGCCCAAACTCCCTAGGATGACCTACAATGAAAAAGTTGAATCCACTGCAGTCAAGGTGCTTATGACTCATGGATATCATGTGTTACAAAGCAGAACCGTTCCATAGTGTTCATGGCTGTGATCTTAACAGAAGCAGATCACCAGGTCTTTACTTCTGCAGTGCCACTGAATTTGGCAATTCACCAAATTTAGGTTAGTAGTCAAGCACAAACAATTTGCGTCACCCAGGCACCTGAATGACTTATTGTTGTTGTTAGTTGCCATCAAATCTATTCTGACTCATGGAGACCCTATGTGTTATAGAGCAGAACCACTCCATAGGGTTTTTTTTTTATTATTATCTCAAAAGAAGAAATTGCCAGGACTTTTCTTCCACAGTACCACTTGGTGGGTTCAAACTGCCAATCTTTAGGTTAGAAGGCAAGTACAAACCATTTGCATTACCTATGACTTAGAACCTCTTGCTGAAAAGTCGATTCCAACTCATAATGACCCTATAGAATAGAGGAGAAATGCTCCATAGGGTTTTCAAGGCTGTAATTTTTATGAAAGCAGACTTGTCACATCTTTCTCCTACGGTTATCAGTCGAGCACTTAACCACTGCCACCAAGGCACCAAACTCACTGCCATCGAGTTGATTCTGACTGATAGTGATCCCCATTGGATTTCTGAGGCTCTAAATCTTTACAGAAGTAGATTGCCCCATCTTCCTTCCACAGAGCAACTGGTGGGTTTGAACCGCTGACCTATGGTTAGCAGCCAAATGCCTTATCCATTAAGCCATCAGAGCTCCTTTCCTATGACTTATAGCCCCTCATAATCTGGCCTCTCTGTTTCCTTTTCAAACTCATCTTTTACCATTCCCCTACCCTCACTCTACACTCTAACCTAAGTGAACTGCCTAATGTGTAATGTGCTCACATTTGCAGGAGCTTACCCATATTTTTCTTTCTGCCTAAAACAATCTTCCTCTTCCCCATATGACTAATTCATACTCTTTCTTTAAGTCTCAGCTTAAATATTATTTTTTCCAGGAAGTGTCCCTGACTTTCAAGAAATATTTTTTTTTCATCTCCACAGGTACCTCTCTGGCAAAGCCTTTGATTACCTCAGCAATCCAACCAGTTTTCTTGATTCTAATCTTCTTTTACACGAATGCATTTTATTCAGGTTAATCTCTCTCAAGAATGAAATATATTAGACTCTTCTCTGTGTACAAAAATATTCAATAGATTTCTGTTACTTGAAGGAAAAATTCCAATCCCCCAGCCTGGTACTCTTCTTGATTGTTTCTATGATCTTGGCCAGTGCTTTTCCCTACTTCCTCTTTACTTTTTTCTCCTACTGCAACCCCCATCAAGTCTACCCAAACTCTACTTAAGTAGTCTTTAATGTCCAACTCAACATATACCTACTCATCTGCCTTTACCATTCTAGGTCAATGATCTCTGCTGCCTAATGAACTCCTAGAATCTTTTGATTTTTACTAATTTAGCAATTAATCATGAAGTTCTTTGAACAGTTAACCTCTCATGTGTTTTTTCACCTCAACTCAATTAGTTTCTAGAAGGAAGAGAACTTCATGTACCTCTACCAACCCCTCCAGATACAATTTTATTTATTTCATTACTTATGCTGCAGAATTTCTCAAAGCCTTTATCCATTGACTCATCAACCTTTCTCTCAACTCCCTGCCAGCTGGTATCTGCTTCACAAAAACTAATCTTTTAAATCTCACCCTGATTTCCTTCTGGCTCAAATCCTTTTCTTTCTTCTTATTCTCCTTTTTTTTTTTTTGGCTTTAAACTACTGACCTTGAATGCCGCTGCCTGTTTTCCATATTGGAAAGGTTGTTTATGAAAAGAACAGATAGAGAAATGATTACTAGAAAAGACCAGTAAAGAAAGACTAAAACTGAAGGAAAGAGGGGAGTGAAATTAAGAGCATAGTTAGAAAAAATGACTTTGAAAGAGAGGAAAGAGGAATATCTCTTTCTCTAAGATTGGTAGGAAGGAAGAAAAAATGAACATGAATGTAGGTAAAACTGCTGGGGTGGAGGAAGGCATTTGCCACTATTTTATTCCTGTTGATTTGCCATCTTACCTGTTCGTATCTCTGGCCACATCTTCATAGACACTCTGCACGCCAATCTCTAGCCTTGTGCAGCCATAGGTCAACATGTCACTTAAATGCCGCTTCATGCAATAATCTGGTCTGGTTTCAATAGTAATTCCAATACACTTTGTGTGGCTTCTCTCAGAATACCTGTAGAGCAAATTTAAAAATAAGCAATCTGCTACAAATCTAGAACATCTACTCCCATATTCTCAAAGAATATCTTCTTAGACTTCCCAGTATAAAAGTGATTAAGAGCATGGGCTCTAAAGCCAGATTTTCTGAGTTCAAATCATGACACTGTTACTTCCTAACTACACAAACAGGAATGTTATTAACATCTTGTTTTGGTTTCTTTATCTAAAAATGAAGGTAACAATAGTCTCTCTCTCACAGGGTTAATGTGACTGAACACACAGTAATGTCACCCACATCATCATTTTTATTCTCCTACAGTATGCTGCACTCATAATCTCCTTGAAAGCCATGATTTCAATTGTGAAAACCCTATTTTCAATTCCTAGCAACCATTTTTCACGTAAGTAAAAACCGTCTGCATTATTTATTTCTCATTCCACATTTTAGAGTCATATTAGATAAAAGGAAAAAAGCACAGGGGGTGTGTATGTACGTATAATGATTGTAAGAATAATTCAGAGGAAATGTCTTCTACATATGCAACAGTCTTTCTGTCAAGCTTATTCATCTTAGCAATGATTTACAAAATCAGGAATCATTTTTCTCTTTCACTAAAACCAGACAGTAGAGTAGTAAGTACCATTTTAGCCTCATGCTTTTTGAGTTAATGCTGGTCAAAGATTCAGAAAAGTAAAAATCATTTGCTAAGGGGGCTGCAGATGTGATGTACGGAATACTGAATCCTCCTAACAGGTCAGCTGCTAAACAAAAAGTTAGTGATTCGAACCCACCCAGCACCTTCGAAGAAAGAGCTGGCAATATGCTCCCATAAAGATTACAGCCTAGAAAACCATATGGGCACTTGAATCAGGACTGGAGGAAGACTCATGAACAATCTGTGATATGCAGATGACACAACACTGCTTGCTGAAAATGAAGATGACTTGAAGCACTGACTGATGAAGACTGAAGACTACAGTCTGCAGTATGGATTATAACTCAACACAAAGAAAACAAAAGTCCTCACAACTGGACCTATAAGCAGCATCATGATAAATGCTGATAAGATTGAAGTTGTCAGAGATTTCATATTACTCAGTTCCATGATCAACACCCATGGAAACAGTAGTGAAGAAATCAGATGACGTATTGCACTGGGCAAATCTGCTGCCAAAGACCTCTTCAAAATACTGAAGAGCAAAGACGTCTCTTTGATGACTAAGGCGTGCCTGACCCAAGCCATGGTATTTTCAATCACTTCATATATGCACACGAAAGGTGGACAATGAATAAGGAAGACCTAAGAAGAGTTGATGCTTTTGAGTTGTGGTGCTGGCAAAGAACACTGAAAGTACCAGGGATTGCCAGAACTAACATATCTGTCCTGGAAGAAGTACAGCTGGAGTGCTCCTTGGAAGTGAGAATTGCCAGACTTTGTCTCATCTACTTCACTCATACTGTCAGAAGGGACAATTCCCTGAGAAGGATATCACGCTTGATAAAGTGGAAGGTCAGCAAAAAAGGGGAAGGTTCTCAACGAGATGGACTGACACAGTGACTGCAATGATGGACTCAGGGACAGCAAGGATTGTGAGGCTGGCTCAGGACCGGGCAGTGTTTCATTCTGTTGTACATATGGTTACTGTGAGTTGGAGCTGACTCGACAGCACCTAACAACAACAACAAGTCTGTCACATGGGGTCACTATGAGTCAAAATTAATTAAATGCCAACTAATAACAGGTCTATGAAGTATGTTTTATTATTCCATTTTACAGATGAATTAATACTTTGTCCAAGGTTACAGAACTAATAAAATCCAAGCCAGGATGTGGATTTAGGTCTGCCTGACTTAAAAATCCTTGCTCTGTATTTCACTTCACCACACTGCTTAGACAGGTCAGCATGGGACATCATACTTTACAACATCTCTAACTTGTTGTTGTTATGTGCCGTTGAGACAACAACAACTAACTTCTTAGAACCCAATAATTCTTCTCAGTGTACCATCCTACAACTTTCTAAATTCTTTTTTTTGTCATTGAATTTCCTTCTTTCCAAAGAAGTTCAGAGCACTTTCTTAAAATGTAAACTATAAAAATGTCCAAAATTTTGCAACTACTCCTTTAGGTTCATATTTCATTCTTAATTGTCAATAAAAATGATTTATTTAGTTAATGTTAATAATAATTACTAAGAAAGTTGTGAATCATTGAGCTGGAGAACTAATTGTGAAGTATTTCTTTTTAGAAATTAAAATGCCATTGCCCTGTTTATTAGAATCTTCCATGAAATTTTATATAGGATTACCAAAGATAGTAATAGGGTAAACAACTAGTCCAAGTTTACTAAAAGATAAATTATAAGACAGAAAAGGGGCTCAGACCTCTTCAAGTCTTGCCTGATTGAATACTAAATTATTTGGCTTCTCTGAAACAAACAAATTAGAAAGTCTCATGATTCTCAAATAGTTGAGTACCAAGACTTGCAGAACAGGAAGTATATAATGTGACAGAATAATTATAACTCATTCATCTTCCTGGAACACTGTGATGGTTATGTTTGTATGTCAACTTGGCTGGGCCTGGTTTAGTGGCTGGGCAGCTGGTGGTAGTTATTCCCCATGATGAGAATGGCAATCAACTCCATGCTGGGATCTACCACAAGCAGCTGAGTAGCTGCCTTTGGGATGTGGTCTGCTTCCTGTATATAAGGAGAATTTTGAGAATAGTCTTTAGCTTTTGGCATGGTTGGACCCTGCATGTAGCCATGTTGTTGCGCAGCAGCCTGCCATGCTCTGCTGACCTTGGGACTTACAATGGACTTAAGTTAATGGCCTGCCGTGTGGACTGGTAACATTGGGACTGTGCCTTTTTCCTTGTGAAGCTTGGGGCTTCTCAGCCTCAGCAGCCAGCAGCTGTCTGAGTGAAGAAATGCCTCTAGCTCCAGTGGGCTGGGAGCAGGAGGCAGAGCTGGATCCCAAGGTTGAGGGGCTTTCACCCAGCCCCTAGAGCCTGGCACTTTGAACTTGGACTTAAAGCCTCCAAACTGTCAGAATAAACTCCTGTTTGTTAAGGCCATCCCATTTGTGGTATATTCTTGTCAGAGCGGCACTAGGTAACCAGAACAAACATCAAGTATTAAGTGTGGGAAAATTTTTATTCAATTAAACAAAGCAAACTTTGTCTGAAGGTTGATTAAAAAAAAGCAGATAGAAAAAGCATTTCATGCTCTGAGATCTTGTTAGTTAAGGTTACACCCTACACTAATGGGGTTTACTCTAACTCTAAATGAGTGTATTTAACAAGTAAATGAGAACATCCTAGAATCAGGCATTCCAAACCTCCCTTCCCCTATTGGTTTATATTTTTAAAAAGCCTGCAGTATTTTTTTTTAATAAATGCATTTTATTGAAATATAATTTATGTACAGTGAAATATACAAAACTAAAGTGACATGGGTCAATGCATTCTATTTATTTATTTTTTTTTTTGGAAGTGTTCCTTCCCCTCCCCACCCCTGGCAACCAATAAAGAAAGTTTCCTTCCATATATAAACCTTTCCTTGACCTTCCACAACAATGAACTAACAGTATATTTGTCCATCTGTCATTGACTTATTTCACTCAGTATAATGTCCTCCAAGTTCATACATGTTATATGGTGTTTTGCTGACTCTACATTACTCTTTAGTGTTGCATAGCATTCCACTGTGTGTATGTACCACAGTTTGGTTACCCATTCTTCTGTTGATGGGCATGTATAGAAGATATAGAAGTATCCAAAGTAAATAAGCCTACAAGATTGTAAAATGGATGTAGGTTGTTTCCATCTTTTTGCTATTGTAAATAATGCTGCGATGAACATGGGTGTGCATTTATCTGTTTCTGCCCTGGCTCTAACTTTCTAGAATATATCTTAGTAATGGGATTGCTGGGTCAGATGGTATCTCCAATTCTAGCTTTCTAAGGAATCGCTCTACCACTTTCCACAGTGGTTGGATCACTTCACAGTCCCACCAGCAGTGTATGAGAGTCCCAATCTCTCCACATCCCCACCAGCACTTGCTATTTTCTGTCTCATTGAAGCTTGCCAGCAGTACTGAGGTGAGATGGCATCTCCTTGTTATTTTGATTTGCTTCTCTCTGATGGCCAATGATTGTAAGCATCTCTTCACATATTTACTGGCCGCCTGAATATCCTCCTTGGTGAAGTGTCTATTCATGTCTTCTGCCCATTTTTCAATTGGATTGTTAATCCCTTTGCTGTTGAGGCATTGGAGTTTTCTATAAATCTTAGAGGTAAGTCCCTTGCCAGATATGTAATATCAACAAGTGTGAATTTGCTGCTGTCATTTTGTTCTGTGTTTTTTCGTGGTGTTGATTTCTTTGTTCCATGTAATTTTCTGTGCTGAGCTCATTTTGTTTATGAATCGTGTTATCACTTCCTTCATTGCTATTGTTTTAATATTTCCTAAATATTTGTGCTGGACCTCTTTTTCATTTTGATGTGAAGGTTTATCATTTTTCTTTGAGGTTACCCTGTGATTTATAGTTTCTTCTCAAGTTGAGAACAGTCTGTTTTATGTTGTAGTTGTCTTGACTTCCCTACTATTTAGAAGTTCTGCAACTATATAATTTTTGCCCTCTTTTTGGTTTGTAGTTGTCCTCATTTGTCAATTGATGTCTCTGGTTCCCTTTTACAATTTTGTAGGCTTATTTACTTTGGATACTTCTATAACTGAGTTGGTTTCTGGGTTATGTCATCATGTGTGTTAATGGTTGGTTGTTGTCTGCTGTTGCTGGTTCTCTGTCCAAAGGACTCCCTTTAGCATCTCTTGTAAGGTTGGTCTGGTTTTAACAAATTCCCTTAACTTCAGCTTATCTGGAAACATCCTAATTTCACCATCATATTTAAGGGACAATTTTGCTGGGTATGTAATTCTTAAATGGAAATTTTTCTCTTTCAGGGCTTCATATATACCATCCTGTTGTCTTCTTGCCTACATGGTTTC